TTTTCGACCGCATCGCTTTCTACCCTTGTTGGCTATGAGATCCCCCTGCCCACTGTTGGCGGTGCCTATGGCGTCACATTGCTGCTGGCGGAAATTTGTGCATGCAATGCTCAGGCTGGCCAAAGGGTTTTCAACATTACCATCAATGAGCAGCCAGCGCAAGCATGGGTGGATATTTTTGCTGAGACAGGGTATATGACACCTTATCTGCTGCATTTTATCGTCGAACTGGATACTGATTTGCTAACAATTCATTTCGACGCCGTTGCCGACTCGCCCAAGGTCAATGGTATAACTATCGTCGCACTGGACACCCCGACGGCGCAACAGACCACGGTACAGCCTACAGCTGTTGAAAAACCAGAATCGACACCTATTACAGTCACGGAATTGCCAGCAACAGCGAGTACGGGTCCTCCGGGAGTGGCACTCCGCATCAACGCTGGCGGCGGTGCCCTGCTTGATAATCTGCAGCGCCTGTTTCTGTCAGATACTTTCTATAAAGACGGCACGGTGATCGAGACTTTGGATAGCATTTCCCAACTAGATACCTATCCTTCTGGCCTTTACGCATCGTGCCGTGCAGGTGTGGACTTCAAATACCGCTTTCAAGTGGCTGACCTCCTTGCTCAGTTGGCCCAGATGAATGAAGGTTCAACCACAGACATCAAGTCGTTGATCATCACCCTGCACGCTGTGGGCCTGGAGGACATCCCCATCGGCTTTACAATCGGCATTGGCGCTGATATTTCAGCACAAGTACAATCTGTTCCTTTGAAACAAGCCACGCGCTATCGCTTTGAGCTGGCGGTGACCGACTTGGATCTGTCCGGAAAACTTGTGATCCGGCTCGAAGCTGATGAGCCGAATCACAAGGCAATCGTCTGTGGCATCGAAATCGAGGCCTTGTAGATGTTGCCCTTGTCTGACAGGCAACCAGTGACTGCTTTTCACTTCCGTATATACATTCGGCTGCGCCAACTATCGAAGAACCTCGCTTTTTACTCGATGCCCCTTGTATCTTGACACTCAATTTTAATCATCATCAATGCATGTGATTGTGAATAATTTAATTTTTATCAGCACTTGTCAAACTTCAGCAAATATTAACAGTCTTTCAGCTTCAGT